AAATGGTGTGATAGAAGGAGCCCGGATAGAACAGTTCCTTCTGGAGAAGTCCCGGGTTTGCCGGCAGGTGAGGGCACTGGCAGGTGTATATTCTGCCCGCCCCTGTGTTACAAGCTTATCCATTGGCCTATTTTGGTTTTCTTTAGGCTCCAGAGGAGAGGAACTATCACATCTTCTACTGCATGCTAATGGGGATGAATACAGAGCAGAAGAAGATGCTGAATCTGGGCACTGCTTCAGAGTACACATATCTCACTATGGTAATAGCCTCTGCTTTCTTCTTTGTTTATCCCTCTGCCATTTGCTTCTCCCAGTGAGCAATTACAATCAGTAGGAGCTGCAGGTGGTAATTACCAAATATGAACAGTCCTTTCCTTAGAATACCAGAAGCAATAACCAAAAGTGCCATGAGCCTCAGTTTCAGAGACTTATTGTATTGTTCACCAGTGGGAAGCAGCTTGAGGCAAGTCAAAGCTTTCTATCAAAGTCAGACTTAAGAAACATAAAGGACATCTTAAAGCAGGTGGAAAACATGCCCCACTTTCCCAGGCACTCAGATTTCAGAGGAATGCAAGGGATCTCATTCCAGGGAGAACAGCAATCACATATGTGTACCTTAGAGGAAAATGAATAAGCAGAATCCTGGTCCTTATATCGAATAAATCTTATATACACAATGCAGGCAGCTGGCATTCAATATAACCTCCCATGAGTGATGTTAATGTCCCTGTCTGGGTTTATGAGGCCATTGTGGTAGCAGTGGAATGTTCATAGGTGAGATTTTTGAAAATAGCTAGTTGTTTGGTTTGGGACATGAAAGCCATAATGAAAACTCTGTTCTTTAGCCTGTGTAGATACCTCATATTAAACATGTCAGCTGGTTTGATTTGTGCTGTTCTACAGCTGTGGAAAAAATGGGGCTTAGTCCTGCCTCTGCTGAAGTTAGTGGGAGCTAAACATCTAGTTTCAGAGGAAATCAAATCAAGTCTATAATCCCTTTCTGAAGTCTCAAAAGAAAAACCATTTAAGTTGCTGGAGATTTTTTCAAATGTAATGTTTTAAAAATAGCAGTGATCTTGCAGCAAAAGCTGACGAGTACAATTAGTGCAATTCACCCATTGTTCATTCCATAAAAAAGGCCCCTGGGTCAGCAGTAGGGCAGTATGATACAGGGATAGGAGGACTGGACTAAGGGAGAATATATCCATGGTTTTGTTAAGGTCAGCTGTTGGCACAAGCTGGCATGTCTAGATGCTGTAGATTGAAATGTCTAGGAATATTTCACTTTTGTAATCATCACACTATATTGTCAGAAATAGCAAGGATAAAAAAGGCATTTATTTCCCCATCTCCATTGGGGCTGAAAATAGTTTCTATCAGGAGCATCCTGGGACCAGGCTCTGATGAAGGTTCTTCTGATGCTGCCTTGCATGCTTCCATTTGCCTTCCACTAGAACCTAATATTTTTATTTTGAGATTTGCCTTCTAGTACTGATCCAATCCTACTTGCTTTGATTTGGGATAAGGGCTCTTAATTGTCCATTGACAAGACAGAGGGAGGAAACCAAAGAAGCTGGCATGGCCTGGTAAATGTGGGTAACCTTGTCAAAGCTTCCTGTCCTTCTGTGCTCCAGAGCAGCCTTCCCTTCAACTTGTCCATTTGGTTTCCCCAAAATTCTGTTTAGCCCTAGAGAAGTACATTACTGAGCCCTCTGCTAATGGGTTCTTTAGAGTAAAGATGAAGGAAGAAACAGCCATGGGAAGAGGATATAGAATATCTAAATAGGTTTTTACCTTGCGTCTTGTGGCAAGTGACTCACAGGATATCCACACTGTGTACCAAGGTTTGTCAGCCTGCAGGTCCCTTCTTCCTTGTATGGGTACCAGGAGGATTTTCCTCACCTGTGGGTGTGGTGCCTTGCAGGGCAACTGCATGTCCTGCGACAGCCGGAATGACGCCAAGGATTATGCCCACATCCGCTCGGCCATGAAGATCCTCATGTTCTCAGATTCTGAGCACTGGGACATCAGCAAGCTGCTGGCTGCCATCCTGCACCTGGGGAACGTAGAGTTCCAAGGTAAACTCAGCACTGTCTGTGCTTGCTTTTCCTCAGGCTCCATGGTAAAGGTACTTCCATTTGGTGCTTCCATCTGTACAGATTAGGTTGTGCTGCTCTGCCGTGCATTAACAGGTCAACAGAGTTGGAAGGACAGGCAGATAAGCACCATAAAATTCTGATTTGTGACTCCACTGCCTAGTGTTTTGAAAAGCAACATCTTGTTGTTATTTTGTCATGCCATCAGGTTTCCATGGTTGTAAATAGGCCCTTATCACACAAACTGAAACAACAGAAAGTATAATGCCGTGTTACATTTGCTGATTGTTGTGCTAGACAAGCCAGAGGACATAAGAGCAGCTGAGTGGTGTTTGCTGTGGAGATAACAGCAGTCATCCTCCTGCCTAAGTCTGGTGAACACTCACCTGCATAGGTGCACTTTTGGTATGGACAGGCACAGTGTGACACCCACCAGTGGGATGCCAGAAGCTCTCACATTTTAGAAAAGAGCTCCTCACTTTGTGATACAGAGGGCCTGATGCACTCATCCCATTTGGATTCTTTGGACTAATGCTGGCTGCTAAAATTAGGGATTTCCTTTGTTCCCCTTTGCTGTCCAAATTTCCTACCAGCAGATAGACGGACAAAAAAATATTTTCAGAAACACATTTTCTGGAGTCAAATATCACTTCCCCAGATCCTCAGTAGCTACTATTTTAAATTAATAACCTTGTCAGTTTGGCTGCTGTTTTTAGCCTGATGTTCTGGAGTTGTGAGAGCCCTGTCGATCCCAGGATCCCTGGGTGAAATCCTTAGTTTCAAAAGAGAACTGAGTGCCTTGCCACATTCCCAGAGCTATGGGATCACAGAAATGCAACTGCATTAACAGCACAGGCCGCTAATGTAGCAGAAATGGTTCCCCCCCAGACCAGCTGTCTCCTCTTTGCAGCGGCCGTGTACGACAACCTGGACTGCTCCGATGTGATGGACTCACCACACTTCTCCATCGCCACCAAGCTGCTCGAGGTGAGGCACTCCCATCTTCTCCTGCTAGTTCCTCCTTCACCCTTGTTCCCTGGGCACACTGACATGTCTCTGGAGTGTTTATGCAGGGATGCACATCCAACAGGCACATCCCCTTCTTCCTGCTGAGACTCCAGCCATGCTGCTGCAGATGTCTCTCTGGGCGGGGAGATATTTAACTGGGACAGCAAATTGCCAGTGAATGCTGCTAGACATGCAGTTTGTCACAGCCCTCTTCCTGATACACACTTTGCTGGATCTCCTTTATTCACCTGGAATGACCAGGTTGCCATGACTGTTCCTCCAGGTGGACTCCAGTGAACTCCAGAACAGCCTCACAAACCTCTCCATCATTGTCCGAGGAGAAAGTGTGTCCAGGCCTCTGAACGTGGCTCAAGCTGCCGACGGCAGGGATGCCTTTGTGAAGGTACTGGTGCTTAGAGCTTCCATGTTTGAAGACTGAGGATGCTTTCAGAGCTGTCTGTCTTCCTGGCTGAGGAGTCTGATGTGACATTCACCCAGAGGGCCCCAGGCCCTTGTGGTTCTCGGGCACAGTTTCACAGCAGCACAATAATAAGCTATGTCCAAAGACTCTAATGATGGGCTCTAATTCCTCTTGCATTTTTTTCCTCAGGGGATATATGGGCGGATTTTCCTGTGGATAGTGAACAAGATCAACTCAGCCATTTTCAACCCAGCTTCTGAGAAGCATAAGGACAGACGTCAGTCCATTGGGCTGCTGGACATTTTTGGGTTTGAAAACTTCAGCAACAACAGGTAGGAGACTCTAGATGAGAAGCTGAAAAGCAGCTGATGTAAAGGGAAAGAATGAAAAAAACAGACAGACACATGCTTTTTCATCATCATCCTGATTCTCAGAAAAGCAGTGACATTTCCATTACTGGATTTTCCCAATTATGATCATGCACAGATTCCATTTTTTTTCAGTCTTGGTCATATTTCTGCCTCCTCCCCCGCCTTCATTTTAGTGCATCCATTACACATCTATTCCAAAACCTCAGGAATTTTCTCAGAGGAGGTGGCTGCTATGAGCAAACAGCCACTATGTGAGGATGTAGTATGTCCCTGTGTCTCTGTACCAAACTTTCCTGTTCCATAGCATTTTACAAAGTCTCTTGGGATATATTTGGCATATAGTACAAAGGAGACCATTTCAGCTCATGCTTACATCTTCCTCAATGTTCTCCCATCCTTTTTTTTTTCGGCTGCTTCATTTCTCCACTCTTAAGGACAGGACAGCAAAGTCCCTGGTCAGTATATCATTGTACCACTGCTGCCTTTTCCACTGGTGGTTTTCACAGTTATACGTTCCCCTTTATCTCTGGAGTTTCTTGAAACACGTAAGAGATCTTTCCTTGCCTACTCAGCAACACTCAATCACCAGTTGGCTCATTGCTGCTGATCTTTACCACGGCAGAAAATGCCTCTCATATATTGCTAAGATTGGCAACATGCAGTGATGGTGTCACCAGTGCTGTGGAATCCAGCAGTAGTATCTCTGGATATGTATTTAATACAGAGAATAAACAAATAACAGGGAGCAGTGCAGCACTGGCCAAGGATGACCATGGGCTCTCCTCTTGTCCTTCCTCAGCTTTGAGCAGCTCTGCATTAACATTGCAAATGAGCACCTTCAGCAGTTCTTTGTGCACCACGTCTTCAAGCTGGAGCAGGAGGAATATCGTGCAGAGCACATTGCCTGGAACAACATCGACTTCACTGACAACCGCCAGGCTCTGGAAGTCATTGCACTCAAGCCCATGAACATCATCTCCCTCATTGATGAAGAGAGCAGGTTCCCAAAGGTAAATTTCTGGTTTCACTCGTAATACCTGGCTTTGCACACAGCTCACAGGTAGCACTTGGTTTTACACGTACAAAAGTGCAAAGGTGGCTTTTGGACACGTTGGGAGAGGCAATGTGTTCTCCCCATAGATTGTTTCTTTTAAATTAGCTCACTATACAACTGCTTCACTCTCTGTTGGAATTTGCTCTTCCTGGTACCTCGCTGTTGAAACTCTTTCAGCTGTTCCAGACAAAGAAGGAAGGAGTCCAGGTCATTTTACAAGGGCTTCTTAGGAAATCTTTGAAATTGTTTGTTGTTTGAGTATTGTTCTGCTCTTGGTCTGGGCTGCAGCTTGCTCTTTCTTCTCCTGATTGACAAACCTAATTGAGGAATGTCACCACTGTGAGGAACTGAAGGGGAACTACGGGCCTGTCAGCCTGACCTTGGTGCTGGGGAAGGTCATGAATAGATCATTTTGAGCACCATCACAGAGCACATACAGAACAACAAGGTGATCAGGCCCAGTCAGCATGGGTCCTGTTTGACTAACCTGATCTCCTTGTATGACAAGGTGACCTGCTTAGTGGATGAGTGAGAGTCTGTGGCTATTGTCTACCACAATTCTGTGATTCTGTGAAATGTTATTCTGCAAAGACCAGGCATCTCAAACAGAAGAGCAGAGATGAAAGTAGCATCTGATCTCAGACATCCCTGCAAGGAATTTTCAGCCTCCAGAGCACAGTGAGGCTAAGCAGGGTTGCTAGTGCAGGAATCAGATGGCAGTGGGGTTGTCCAGCCCCTGCCTCAGCTCATCTGTGTCCTTTGGGTAACAGTTTGAGAGGATCACATACAGGCACACAGCTTTCCCCTTTCTTCCCTAAGAAGAGGGTGGTCCCGCAGTCAGGACCAGAAGGCACCTCTTCTATGACTCTCAGAGCACATGAATTCTGAGAGCACAGCCCTCACTGCCCCTAGAAGGGCCAGGGCACACAGTGCACAGTGTGAGTGCCTCACATGCACCATGGGGGGATGAGATTGTGGTGGTATCCCTTGAAGAGAAGCACCCAGCTGACAGCCTTGCCTCTGGAACTCAGGATCTGGGCATGCTGACTGGTATCTGCTAGGGGAATCTTACAGAGATCTCTGAGCCTTGCACCAGCTGTAGAGTGACAGAACTGTGCCTGCCCAGGAGAAGGAGCAGGCACCCCTTAGAGCCTCCTGGATAGGATGGTGTGAGAACATCTGGGGGGGGCTCTGCTTGTGAGGTCCAAAGATCTGAGGAATTCTCAGTGCACCTGGTGATGTTAGTAATGTTCTGGGGGCTTGTGTACAGCCCTAGAACACCAGGCCTTAGGCTCTGATGGTGTGTTCTGTCATGGTGCTTGAGAGAGAGGTCTGTGTAAAAGGGAAGATACTTTTGGCACTGCCTTCCTCCAGGTCTGCTACACAAATAAGGGCAGAATTCGAGCTTTTGCTATCTCTGATCACCACTTTGTTTGCTGAGCACAGGCCAGTGCTGGGGACAATCTGATAACTGTCTGGTTTTGCCTGTATTTGTTTCTAGGGCACAGATGCCACCATGCTTGTTAAAATCAATTCCCTCCATGGCAAAAGTAAAGTCTATATCCCACCTAAGAGTGTTCATGACACCAAGTTTGGCATCAACCACTTTGCTGGGGTTGTGTTTTATGAGTCAAAAGGTGAGTCTTTCTCTGCTGGACACAGAGGGTGAAGAGAAGGTAGGACGTGCCCTGGGTATGTGGCTGTTCAGGGTAGTGTTGATCTGAAGCTGATCAGGAGGCCAGGAGAATTACTCTAAACCAATCTGCAAGTTACTGTAAATGAGTTGGATTTTAGGCAGACAGAGTGGTGCTAGAGCCAGCAGGCTGCAGATGTGATAATTTTGTTTCCATCCTATAGATTTCCTGGAGAAAAATCGTGACACACTGAGTGCTAATGTAATGCAAGTGGTCCATTCCTCCAAAAACAAATTCCTGAGAGAGATTTTCCAGGTGGAAGTGACCCCACCGACTCTGGGACGTGGGACCATCCGGCATCTTGGAGCTGACCAGATCTACAAGGTTGGCTTACTGGCACTGGCTTATAAAAACAACTCATTTCCCTTCCTCTAGCTGTTCTTGACCTCCTCTCTTTTTTTTTTCCCCACTGTCTCTGCAAATTCCTGTCCCTTTCATTCAACTTGTTTCTGCAAAGGAAGCTGCAGGAACGTCAGGGTCTGGTGTTTGTGCTGTAAACAAGTGCACTGTCAGCCCTGTCGCCCAGGTCTGCACCCCTGGACATCTGTGCAGCCAAGCCTGCAGCCTGCCCCACATCCCTGAGTCATGGTACCTCCCCCACAGGCTGGCATCAGCTGGATGGGTTTGGTCTGCACCTGCCTGGGCACCCATCCAGCATCCACATTGCTCGGAGGGGTGTAAATTATGGGGGGGTTCAAAACGTTCATTGGAATGGACAAGGCACCAACCAGAGACCCCTCAGCAAAGCCAGCACAGCAGGGAAACTGCTGCCATGCTGCACAGGCAGCCAGCCTGCTGGGACCAGAACACCAAAGGGTCTCACTGGGCAGTGGGTTCTGGCCTTCCCATTCTTGTAGAGGGCTGACAGGTAGCACAACAGAGCAAAGAGCTGTGCTGTCACAGAAAGATACTCTGTCTCCTTCTCCCAGTGACACCTGTAGAGACAGTCTCACTGCCCTGCATACTGCTGCAATTTTAGCTCTCCCTTCTTGCCCAGAGGCTTTATGACAAAGTTCATGATGGCTCATTGTTACAGGCCCATCTGTGCCTGGTAGTGGAGGGAGCCTTGTCTGTGCTTAGTGAAAATGAGGGTGTAAAGTGTAGTGGACTGGAAACAGCGTTGGGGCAGAGTTCAGGTTCTTTGTGCTGCTCCAACTTTCACAAACTGTGATTTCTGAGCATTTAACAATGTAGTGTCATCAGTGTGTAAAGGTTCTTTTGCTTTTACTGTTTACATCATTGAGTTTTTCTGTCAGGATACAGAACAGCTTGCTACCTTACCTCTCATCTGTCTATTCTCCTGGCATTGTTTTCTGATCCTGTTCTTTCTTCCTCTGTCTTTGTCCCAGTGTGGCTTTCTGCTGTCCAGAACACCTGGCCATGGACAGGTAAACATCCTGGGGGCAAAGAACATCAGAAGTGGTACAAGCAACAACAGAGAACTGGTTTAGCATCTCTTAAATGCTATTAATACCTTCAGATTAAATATCAGGTCTATCTACATTGCTCTAATGGTTTTTGTTCCTATAAATAAGGCTGTGTGATTGAAAAAAAGCACAGCAGCATGTCAAGAAAGGAGATACTAAATGGGGGCAACCCATTCCAAAATGCATAGAAATTAGCTGAAATACCCCTATTAATTTTCAAATAGGTGGGGCTACCATTGGGAAGCTTAAGAAACAGGCTACAGAAAAGAATAATGAACTAAGGGCTAGAAAACACTTTTTTGTGCTGAGGTCCCACAGTTCCTCTCCTGACACACCAGGGCAGAAAAGTCACCATTAAGTCAAAAGCCAACAACAAATTCAGCTTTACCAGTGTTCCATGTGTGAGATCACGAGGGCATGGGCTTCAGCCTTTTGTGGCCTTGCCACTGAGGGTACAGCAGAAAGGCCTCTAAGGTCTGGGAGTGAAAACTGCTTTTAGCTCTTACACAGCTTAAATATGTATATGCTGTTAGCATAACCCACTTCAGATGCTTGCTAGTCCTAAGATGCATCAGAGCTGTGACAAGACATTCCCAGGAGCTGTTTTCCAAAGACATGAGTCTTTGATCACTGGAGGGCAGCCTTGCCCTGTAGCTAAAGCAGAGGATGGCAATTTTAGTGTTCAAAAAGGCACTTTAGATGTAAGAACAGAGCAGAATGAAGTACTGTAAAGACCATGGAAGTGAGAGGAGCCACTGGACTTTAAATTATTTACATGGAAAAAAATAAGAAAACCCCACAAGCCACTAGCCCCTCCCAAAACAAGCAAACCAGCTGTGTTGTGCTGCAATAATTAGCTCCATGCCTGTATGTAAAAGGCCACTGGAGTCCTTCTGTTACTTGGAGTCTGTACTGGTGTCACTGCAATTTAATGTGCCCATACTGAGAGACAGAAGCTTGAGCCTAATGTGATGATTTGTGTGAAAAAGGCATAGGTGGAACTGTGCTGTCAGAGAAGCTGGGGAAGTCTGGAGTGGCTCTCACCTTAAACTCCAGTAAAAGTTTGCCTTCTCCCTGCTTACTGTAGTATTAATTAGCAAGGTGATCAGTCATCCTAATCCCTAAGAAATAGGCTGTTCTGGATCTTTAGCACTCTTATCTATGATGGCACAAAATGTCTGGCCTGGAGGTTAATACTGTTTTGGGAGTGGCTGTTTCTGACGAAGCTTTCAGGCACACACCCAGGAATCACACTTGGCACCCGGGCCCTACACTAAACACAGCCTTGGTTGGAAGAGACAGGCGTATATGTGGGCTCCTGTAGGTGGAATTTCTTCTACCACAGCCTTATTGCTGACCTTATTGCTAGACCTTAGTACCCAAGTAGGTGAAAGCACTTAATGGGGTTTCTTTGCAAGAATAAAACCAAAATTAATAAGATGAAAACGACCAATTTAATTCCCGTGTAGGTAAATAATTTTTTCTGAGACTTGTGTGATACTGCTACGCTGTACAAAAATACAGTTTTATTAATTGGCCTCAGGCAGTGAATGATGTAGCAGTCAGCACGTGCTTACTCTTCCCAGGGTTTGGATACCACCAAGCGGCTCTCTACTCTGGGAGGACAGTTCAAGCAATCCCTGGAAAAACTAATGAAAATCCTGGAGCAGTGCCAGCCATACTTCATCCGCTGCATCAAGCCTAATGACTACAAGAAACCACTGGTAATGTTCTAACAATGTGAGCTCTTGTCTTCAGTAAAGTTTTTAATCAGAAAAAGCTGTCAGTTGCTGTGTAGCACTTTATAGCTGTGCTTGGCTGCAGCCAAGGAGAGCTGGAGTACAGGCTATTCCTGCAGTTAAGAGAGTAGGAGGATATAACTGTTAATGTACAAAAAGGTCTCAAAAAATACATCCTACAGTAATGGATGGCAAAAAAGCACATACATGTATTCCTGAGCAGAGTTATATAGTTATATTTTCTGTAAAGCGAAAGACAAAACCAGAGAGTTTGTAGCCCCTCAGCAAGGGGAGAAAAAAAACCATTAGGATCCCACAATGCTCATACTATGAAATAGCCTGAGAGAGAATAGGAGAGCTGTTGGAGTTTGTGAGAGGGGTGATGTGGCTTAGTCTGACACTATGGGAGAAGAGGAATCAGTTTGTCATTAAGACACTTGTCTGGAACTCAGGAGATCTCGATCCAGTTTTACACTTAAACTTGGCATGGTGTCGGTCAAGTGAATATTTTTGAAGTACTGGATGTGGCTTAGTGAGCCTGTTAGAAACAAGCAGCACACCTGCCATGCTTTGCAGGGTATGCCCAAAGGGCCTAAGTTGCTACTGCAGTTGTTCACACCTGCAAATTATATGAACAACTCACTGTTCATCTGGAATTGGGGTTCTAGAATTGAAAATGGTTACTAAAGCCAGAGTGAAGTTAACAGACTGTGTCTTCTGCTCACATACACAAACTTGAGGACCCTCTGGGGTAACTTGTTTATGCCCGTAATGAATTAATTCAGTGCAATTAAAAAAAGCATAGTCAGCCATTTTGCAGGCCCTCTGAGGTTGAAGGTTAACAGATACGTTCTGAGGGATGCTGGATGTCTCCCTTCTTTCAGAGCTAAGTCTCCTCCTCGTGTGCTTTCCCCTTCAGTTGTTCGACCGGGAGCTGTGTATCAAACAGCTGCGATATTCGGGGATGATGGAGACCATTCAAATCAGGAAAGCTGGGTTCCCAATTCGCTACACCTTTGAGGAGTTCTTCGAGAGATACAGGGTTCTCTTGCCATGGTCTCTTCGACAGCAGGTGCGTAAGCAAAAACCTGGTTTGAGGCTAATTTAACTTTTCCTTGTGAGGGTTTAGTCTTTTCCATGGTAGAAAGTTCTTGGATTATTGCTGGCACAGTTGAGAGAGCTGTCATTGCAGGAGCTGCCATCATGGGAACTGTCACCACAGTAATTACTGCTAAATACTTACATACTCACTTGGGCCTTAGCTGAAAATGCACAGCTGCTTTTAGGTCCAGCTGTCATTGGCCTGCTCCATACAGACATCCCAGGCAGGATGTGCCTTCAGATGTTTCTCTTCTGTAATCACATACTTCTCAGGTCTCTGACATCCTCCTCACACTTGAACTCTGGAATGTTTGGCCATGCAGTCGTGTTCCTCCTTTTCCTGACCATTTGAGTTGAACCACTTTCATTCATTATACTGTCAGCCCAGAGGTCAGTAAGACCTCATCTCTTTCTGTTCTTTGCCCTTTGAAATGCAGGGCAGTAGATCCTTACATATAGCACAGCTGCTGTGTTTCACAACCAAGCCCTAACATCATCATGCTTTTGCACATCAGATGAAGAACGATGCTCGGCAGAGCTGCATCAGCATCTCCGAGGCAGTGCTGGGCAAGGATGAAAGCTGGCAAGTTGGAAGGACCAAGATTTTCCTTAAAGTAAGTAAAAAGGACAGTTTCTTCTCTTCTCCTGAAAGACTGGATGCTTCACAGTACAGCTTGACCTGCTTGTGCAAGAGTGGTGACCTAGGAGGACTCAGTTGTCTTATAAACTTTCTTGAATCTGAAGCTGTATCTTTGTTCCTGAAGGCCAAATAATTCAATAGAGGCAGTTTGGTGTAGGAGAGGCTGATCCTGTTCCTGTGTGTCAGCTTTGCAGCTGAAACAGTACAGTGCAATGTCCTGGAGCATAAAAAAGAATGGGATACCAGTACACTGTTGCAGGAAACCACTTTCCCTGGAGCAGGAAACCACCTTCCCTGTAGCATTCCCCCAGGTAAAACAGTCTGACTGCTTGTTTATGGCTATAGACAGACCAGGTGTGCTCAGGTGGTGTGTACTCATCCTACTGAAGTCCCATAAATGCATTTTAATCACATTATGCTCCATCATGCTGATTTTGGGCCTCTTTCAGACCATGTGCCCAGTTTTCAGAGGTTGTAGGTGTGTCTGCTCACCTGGCATATCCACACTTTGTTTTAACAGGATTATCATGACACCGTATTGGAGCTGCAACGCCAAAATACACTCACAGATAAGGTTCTTCTTATCCAGAAGGTGATGAGAGGATTGAAGGACAGGTCAGTGATCTTGTAAGAAGGAGGTCACTTTGGTTCAAAGCAGTTATCTTTGTGGTGCATCTTAACACACTCTGTGCAGCATTTCTAAGTATGAAACGTACCAATCTACACCTTCCAGCAGCCCTAAATTCCATACTCATCACGTAAGAGTGCACAGTGTATCTATGCAGATTTTGCACAAGGATTTGTTTTGGCTCAGTTTTTTTATTTTCACGATGCTTTTCAAAATGCAGGGCTGTGGCACATGCAGCTTGTATGAAGAGGAAGGGCTGGAAGGAGGATTTGTTCTTAATATTTCTGGTAAACGGTAGACATCTCGAAAGCAGGAAATCCCCATGCAATCTGTGTCCTTCTCAGAGCTACAAGAATTCTCTTATTTAGGATGCTTCTTTGGTACAAAACCTAGAAAAGAATCAAATAGAAATCTCTTTGCCAGAGACGCATAATTCTTGCATTTTGTGTGGTTTTAGTTTGAAATATCTTCAGAAGGGCAATTTAGTCACTGTCAAGTAAATGTTTGTCCTCATTGAATGCTTTGTGTCATGATTTCTTCTTATTTACCTTGTATCCCCCCAACCAGAACCATGATATAGGACTGAATCCTGGTATAGTTTAGTAATATTCTTGACAGTAGAGAAGCAAGAACTAAAAAACATGACACAAATGCCCCAAAACTTTCCCCCTTTTTTTTCAGACTCTGCCTGCTATCTAACAGAGTATCACCTCTCCCTAAAAGCCTCAACTTGCTTTTATTTTTAACCATCAGAGCTATCTGCCAGCCTCGGTGTGACAGTTTGTACCATGGGAAGTTCATCTTGCTCAGATGGGCTCCTTGTCCTGGCAGCAGGACACAGTGGTTATTAAGTGGAGGAGTTAACTTATCCAACCTTGATGTAAGGGGTTTTCAGTTCTTACAGAGCTCTCTGACCATAGCAATGAATTTGGTCTGCAGTTGCTGTGAGTATTTTTGCAGGAAACAAGGCTGAGATCAGACTGGAGACATCCCAGGAAAAAAGGAAAAAAATGCCACCTTCTTCTTTACTACTGTCATAAGAACCAACAGAGATAACCTATTGTTTGTCACCTCACATGTCTGTCTGCTTAGGAAGCAGTTCCTGAAACAGAGGAAGTCTGCTGTAGCTATTCAGTCAGCCTGGAGAGGCTACTGCTGCCGGAAGGACTTCAGAATGGTAAGATGAAGGTGTATGCATATATATGTGTGTGTGTGTGTGTGTGTGTGTGTGTGTTTGTTTATCTACTGTGCCCTGCCAGACTGAGTAGAGTATTAGGAATGAAGATATTCACAACTGAAGGGAGGAGAGGCAAGATGGCAGGGTGTAAGGAAGGGTGTGAAGTCAAAGGAGGGCTCTGGGACATCTCAGGGCTTGCTGAATTCTGCTTTCTGGTGAAATAGGAACCCTCCTCCACTGCTTCTCTTGCAATTGCCACATCCGTGGCTCCAAGGGTGTGGCTTTGTTTGTTTGCTTGCTTCCATTCACTTGGCTTCATTTCTGCTCTGTCCCTTCCCTTGTCATAATCCCAGGCTATCA